TTCGATAGTAGGAAGATCCTCGAACTTCGATGAAGATGGATCTTCCTCCAACATAAAATGATGTGATAACATAACCGACAAAAGATGTTTATATGTATTTCATAGATTATGAAAAAGCGTTTGACTGAGTTAAACACACCAAACTCATTGACTTACTTACTAGACAAGAGTTAGACCAGCGAGATATCAATTTTATTTAAAATCTGTATTGGAAACAGACAGCTCTGTCAAAATAGGCGAAAACCTGTTCAGTAGTGTCACTAGAACAAGAGGTCTGCGCAAGAGGGGGTGTTCTCTTCTCTTTGAGCTTTACTCTGAACAAGGTTTATAAAACGCACTGGAAAAACATGAATGCTTTATGAGAAAAGGCAGCAAATATTTGATTTCACGCAAACAAATCCTATGTATCTCTTGATACGTATTTCGACCTAATAGGTCTCATCAGAAGAGCTATTCATAGGGCTTCTCAACGTGAAAAATCAATATTTTCTGCCTTTTAAGAAGCAACAATAACATGGCTTCAATACGGACGCAGTAGCGACATCTAATTAAACAATCGTAAAATAGTTTCGAAACACAATTCAGATTTCTGCTTTATAATCTGAGCCTTCTAAGAATTGCAAGGCAAACAGACGTTGATAAAAGATGTTAAAAGAGACATGGGGAATCTAAAATTTGCATTCCACGACATGTCTTTTACAACTAAGCAGAAATCCTTAGCGAATTGTGTTTCTCGTGCTCCCACAGAGCATATCCGAATAAAATGAGAAAAGGCAGCAAATATTTGATTTCACGCAAACAAATCCTATGTATCTTTTGATACTTACGGATAGTCAGTCTATCGTGTTTATTGTTTAACATCGCGCTAGAAAGAGCCATAGAGAAATCGGGCATAACAACCAGAGGTACGATCATCAATAGAAGTGTACAGATATTGGCCTACGCAGATGACATTGACATAGTAACATGGACAAAACGAGACCTGATTACTTCTTCTTCTTTGGGTGCCTGTCTGTTCCGAACGTTGGCGATCATTCTGGCTATGATAATTTTGTTGGTTGCTATACGAAATAGCTGTGTTGAGGTCTTTCTATACCATGCTCTCAGGTTAGCAAGCCAGGATATTCTTTGTCCTGGGGCTCTTTTTCCTTTAATTTTACCCTGCAAAATGCATTGGAGTAGCTCGCATCTGCCTTGATTTCTCATAATATGTCCCAAGTACTCCAGCTTACGGCTCTTCACAACGTTTACCAAATCCGCGGTTGTGTTCATCCTCCGCAGTCCTTATACAATATTTATCAGGACAATATAAATATCAATATTTATATTTAATATTTTGAAACATTAGAAAAAGTCGCGAAGACAATGGGACTGCAGGTTAACGTATCCAAAACAAAATACATGAAGGTCACGAACAGCACACAAATAGCGGCACCACAAGATCTGGTGACAGAAACACACACATTCGAATGGGTCTCAGACTTTATATATCTTGGAACACAACTAAATAACATCAACCTAGTAAGCGTAGAAATTAAGAGAAGATTATACCTGGCGAACAAAGCTTACTTTGGACTAAAGGAGTTCTTAACACGTTAATCGCCCAAATGAAGCGAAAATTATCCCACCCCAGACCCAACTTAGTTTTTCTAGTAAATCATTAGGTTTTTACCTCGGATATGATGTACTGGCTGTTATAAAGCGCTGGGTTAAAAAACTTCCCTAAAAATGTATTTTGAAAATGACAGCCTACTTATGGGTTTCAGATCCTCTGACGACGGAGCGCCGCGAAACCCGAGTATCGGTTGTCATTTTTTTTCGAGTTCTAACAAGTCTGTGTCTGCTAAAATTGCAGTTGTTTTGTTCAGTATACCTACAATTCATTTGTTGAAATTACGACACGTAATAAGGTTGGTTGTAAATTATAGAAAATTATATTGTGTTTTGTGTCGTAATAAAATGGAAAAAAGTTACGAAAAGGAACAAGGGAGACTTTTGAAATTGTGGAATGAGTTATTATCAGACGAAGAACAAGAGACTTTAGACTTCATAGATAATTCTTCAGATGATTACTTGCCCAGTAATTCATCATCAGATGTTGAGTCTGATGAAAGTTTTTCCCATGCAAATTGAAAATGAAAATAATGAAGAGCTTTTACAAGATGAACTACACTGGTTTCCTCCGAATGGTTCTCATTTAAAAAATTTCAATTTTGATGTAGATCATGTCGGTATTACAACACAGATAGCTGAGAGTTTTATTACAAAGGCACCATATGATTTTTTCAAGATATATCTCAGTGATAAACTTTGGGATTTGATTGTAGTAGGGACTAATAGATATGCTGAACAAAACCTATGGCAGTTTTCCCGCGATTACACAGATGGAAAAATACTAACAGGGACGAAATTACCACATTCTTTGGAATTGTAATATATATGGGTCTAGCAAGGTTTCCAAAAATGACTGATGACTGGTCTAAGAATCCATTATATAGCAATCATGTATCGTGTAAAATGTCAAGAAACCGATTTGAATTAATTCTCAGAATGCTACATTTTAACGATAATGAAACGGTTGATAAAAATAACCGTTTGGAAAAACTAAACCCTTTATTAGAAAACTTGACCAATAAACTCAAAGAGGTCTATATTCCGGAGAAATCTATCTGCATAGATGAAACACTGGTATTCTTCAGAGAGAGATTGTCATTCAGAAAATATATCAAAAATAAGAGGTTCAAATTCGGAATAAAACTGTATAAACTCTGTTGTAAAGACGGCTATACATACGATATCAAAATATACTGTGGACAAGATAAAAATTCAGATAAACCTGCTACGGTTTCGACTGTTTTATCACTTATGTCGCCACTTTTAGATTACGGACCAATTTTATATACAGATAATTACTATACTAGTGTCGCATTAGCGCATGAACTACAAAAGCGTAAAACGCATCTTGTCGGTACTTTAACGAAAAGTAAAAAAAACTTGAAAAAGGAAAAGTAGTTGTTTTAAAATGGCAGGATAAACGTCTCAACACTATTCAGAGTGACACAACCACTAACTATACACGAAGAGGAACAGACATAGAAAAACCATCTCTTATAGTTGACTATAATTCATGTAAGTCATTCATAGATCTATCAGATCAGTTGAAATCATATTCTTCCCCTTTGCGTAAAGGGATCAAGTGGTATAGAAAACTTGCATTTGAAATATTACTTGGCTTAGCAGTAGTAAACGCTTTTATAATATAAAAAACGGTGACAAAGGCCAAAATATCAATTACGGATTTTAGACAGAGCATTGCTCTAAGTATATTACAAATGCATGAAGTGGATGTCCCGAAGGTACCGGAAAATGATAACATAAAGCATATTTTACATGAAGTTGCTTCAAAAGATCGTCGAAAATGTGTAGTATGTTACGCGAAAATAAGCGCTGAAGAAGGCCGAAAAACCGCTCAGAAGAAGGGACCAAAATCAAAATTTTCATGTGATGCATGTGTAAGTTTTATTGTTTGTCATGTTTTTTTGAGGTTCACCATTATTCTGTATAATTAATACGAACTGTTTGTATTATTTGATTAAAATATAAATGTTTTTTTATAAATCATTATAATTTTTTTGAAAAATCTTTAATGATAGTAAACATATAAAAAGTGCCGAGCCCATTCACTAAAAAGCGACGAAGAACTGTTAGGCCGCTTTGAAAAACAAATACTTAGACACATATATGGAGAAGTGCAAGAAAGCGGGATATGGCGCAGGCGCTACAATTTTGAGTTGTATCAATGCTATAAAAAAACATTGTCCAGTCTATTAAAATTAATAGACTAAGGTGGCTAGGACACCTTGAAAGAATGGACCTTGGAGACCCCCAAAGACAGATATTCTATCAATAGCCAGTAGGAACCAGAAATAGAGGCAGGCCAAGATCTAGATTCAAAACTCAAGTCAAAGATAACTTGAGGAATCTAGGGGTCAGAAATTGGAAAGCCAGTGCGAAAGATAGGGGGGAATGGAGACTAATTCTTGAACAGGCCAAGACCCACCCAGGGTTGTAGAGCCAAAGATGATGATGATTAGTAAAACAAAAGCAACTGTGTTAACCAAACATCCAAATCTACGAGTTAACATTTAAATTTATAACTTCCCCATTGAGGACGTCTGTAACTTTAAATACCTTTGGTTGTGGATAACCAAAGAATAGACCTAGAGTTTAAAATCTGAGGTCAACTTGAATACTCAAGATCTGCATTCCTTAAAGTGAAATGCCTTTTGCCAAATAAAATTATTTCACTGGATACTAGGTATCAATTCCTGAAAATACAGAGTTGGAATAATAGTATGGAATCAACTAAATATCTTTGAAACAAAAAAGATGCTATTAATGTCACTTTGCATGCATGTACCATGACACATGACCATTGATGTTATATTTTTTGTTACTACTCTCGGTAACAATTTCCTAATCTTATTTAATTTAAATGTTATTCCTAATTCATACATTTGAAGTTTCGTAGAAAACATTTGTTTAATTGAGAAATAAATTACTTCACAGTTAAAGAATAGGTCAATATATTTAAAAAGATCAATCTGAATAATAATTTAAAAAGAATCACTTCAAATGCTCAATGTGGTCGCTGTTAACCTCCACACAATGTACAAGCCTCTTATTAAGTTCGTGAGTCACCGGTTCTGAGTCTTATCCATGTATTAGTTCACATTCATCTATATTCTTTGTTTATCTCCAAATCTTACAAACATATTGATAACATAATGTAAACATGCAATTTCAGAAAATAACAAAGAAAAAAATCTAAAGTATTAAGGTCTGGAGAATGAATACTTATGTACCAATTTGAAATAAGAATCATGTTTTTCTCAAGCTTTCAATAGTTTCTTTATTTGATTCTTTCTGACCTATGATATGTTTTGAGGATGGGTTCAAAACTAATGTTTATAAGAAACCTTTGAAAGAAAACACAAATTAATTCATAAATTATCTAATATCATTTTAACATCACTTTTGTTTGTTATATAAAAACCAATACATACAAAACATAAAACTAGGAGGACTTTTTATATAGTTCTGAGTAACATATTTCTTCATTTCTTCAACAGACATTTCCACAACTTCAATGATCTCATCATCAACTCCTCCTCCAGATGAAACTCTCATATCGTCAGTAACTTCACAGTAAAAGGCAGTTTGTAGACTGGCAGAAGTGCCTACAAAAATAAAAACAATTTGATGATGATTTGTATTATTTACTATCAAAAATACTATTTTGAATTATGAAATATAGGTCCATTGAAAAAATAACCCCTTCACAATAATACATACTTAAGATAAATATATAAAAACTAACTTTTTTACAAGCTTTTACTTTTTTAATGAAATAAGCAAATGTAATTTAAAATATGATTTAAATGTCTTTTTAGATCTCTTTACAGTACTTATATGCAGGAGAACTGTCAGGAATTTAATAAAAAAGATAAGCTGTATCATCTATTTGATATCATGTATTTCTGAATTATGACTTTCTTTGAGAATGAAAGTGCTCAAATAAACTCTAAGCTTAAAGTTAACTCTAAGAAGAACTATGTTCAAATTTCACAGCCCAATTCTTCACTACAGATACTATCAGATAACAATGAATCAGTAAATTTGAGTAGATCATTGTGCAAAATCATGAATTCAGGTATTTCCACCATTCATTTGCTTTTACATAAATGTATAGAGGTAATATTCAATACTGCTGGTTGAAGCTTTCAAGAAAATCTATTAAAAGGAAGTCTAATTAAATCATCAAGAAAAACAAAAATCAAAATATGAAATCAATAGGGCAAAAGGAAGGAAGTAACAAAAAGAACACCTGAAAGAGCAAAAACATAAGAAATGAGGACCAATACACCTTAACAATAGATACACTTTGAATTATGAAATATATACCAGTATAGTAATTTTAAACCTACTTATTTTTTATAAACTTCCACATAACAGTACACTTACCTACACCAGACCTATAAGATCCTATTTTTTGCATGCTAGAAACAGGAACATCATACCCACATTCCTCTAAAACCTCTTCCTTGGCTATCTCTGCTTCGGATTTGTTTTTGTCTATAATTCCAGCACACAATTCAATTGTAATACCCAACTCTGGTGGGTATTTTTTTGTGTCAAGTTCCTCTCCCATAATTCTGTCTTTTTCTGGAATACTTCCATAATAAACAGCAGGACGAAATTGTTTTACAAGAATTAAAACGTTTCTTGAAATGTTGTACAAAATTATGGCTACACTGTCATGTACTGTTAATAAGTCCCAGGTTCTTTTAGTGCCATTCTGTACAAAATGCATAGTATAGGGTTTCAAATATATAGATTCCCGTAAAGGTTGAATAACAATTTTTGAGACAGCGTCCATTTTAGTTTCTTGTAATAAATTTCAAATAAATTAATCAATGTACTTGTTGATAGCAAACTATACTGAGCATAATATGAACTCAGCAGACACTGCACAAATATATTCCTATGAAAACACGCAACTTCAAATCTAAAAGTAAACTTAGATAACCGTGATAAAATTATTTCTTTAATTCATACATAAACTTAAATAATCTTGAGGAATTTTTATTCTGTCTTTTAAATAACATCTGTTTATGAAATATCCTTGACAACGTTTTTGACTTTGACATTATGTAACTGTCATACCCATCAAATCAAAATACATAACTAAGCCAGGGATGGCTTCTCTCTTTATGTATTCAAATGAAAATAAAGACGACAAAAAAACTGGGAATTTTCTTCAAGCCCAAACCTCTAACCTTTCTATGCCTTTGTAAAGAAAGACAAATTTGACTATATTAACGAAAAAAATAGTATAGGCCCTTCCACGATGTGACCTATAAAATCTTTTATGTGTTATTCACATCTGTATGTTAATCCAAAAATCTAGATAAGAAAGTCTAAGACTCCTAGCCAACTGACTAGGCTGTAAAAATAATGTTTCCATATATAGGTGTATGACGTTGGCGAGCAATTACCTTGCAGTTGTGGATAATACATGTTCAGCTGCTTTGTCTTTCATTCTTGCAGGAGCTGCATTCTTTAACCCCTATTCTAACGCCTTATTCATGTATTTTGACCTATGGGCATAACTTTTACAAGAAGATATTGACATTTTCAAACCTAGAGGGAGGAAGAAGTTGAGGAGGACCGCGTAGAAGAAGGATTATGATTATATATGCCATTTGTGAGCTCGTTGTGTACTATCTTACACTCATAAATTGCGTTAGGCTTTCACGGCCATCGTCTAATTTATTAAACTGTTTATTCGGGCTGTTGGGCCGTTGTCTTCTGTTGAGATTAGTTCTCGACGTTTCGCCAACACTAGGGGTTGGCATCTTCTGGAGATGTTGATGCTTCGCTTGTAAGCGAAGTAAGGTCAGTTTCTGCTTACAAGCGAAGCATCAACATCTCCAGAAGATGCCAACCCCTAGTGTTGGCGAAACGTCGAGAACTAATCTCAACAGAAGACAACGGCCCAACAGCCCGAATAAACAGTTTAATAATATCTTACACTCATTTATAAATATCAAGGGCAGAATGCTAACGACTTTAAGATTCGCCGATGATCTAGCACCAGAAAAAGACCGTATCGATAATGCCAAAAAAGCTAGAGAAACGGCATAGATAGTTAAGATAAAAAACTGCTTCGTATAAATATGTACCTCAGAGTAAGAAGAACGTAAGTCCAAAAATTGTGATTTTCGGGATTTTGATGTTTTGCGTGTAAAATTTAATTCTACATCGAGCCATAACAACGTAACTCCTTTAAAAATTATACTTTCCAAATTAGCCAAGGGTATAAGAGCGTATAATATAACTCCTTTAAAAATTATACTTTCCAAATTAGCCAAGGTTATAAGAGCGTAAGTCCTTACCCATATCAGAGTCAGACAAACGTAACTCCACTTACTACATTATGGCTCTGAGGTTTTGCTTGAAACCTGTAAATTGTATGAGGAAGAGTGTAAAAAGAACAAGTTAAACCAGAAAAAAAGTGGATATATTATTATAAAATTATTAATGAAGATTTCTACTTGTCTTTTCATTCACCAGATAATAATATATGTGATATTTGTGATAGACTACGATTGTCAAGTGTGTACCAACGCAATTCTACCCGAATTTGCGTATAAAATACACGGTTCGTATATTACAAAATTAAACTTCAAAATTATTGAAAATCTATATTTGCCAGTTCCCAACAAAACATATCGCGTGCTTTTAAAAAATGATGTAACAAAATTATCACTTATAAGCATCTATCTATACATACACAAAATTAAAAAATACTACGCCACGGATACCGACCGTTCAGCGCTCAGATTCTTAGTCAACTGTAAGAACCTCATCAATTTTTATTACACCACTTACGCGTTAAAATAAAGAAAATAAATTGAAGTGATGGCGATAAAATATAAAAATTATTGCCGACAAGTGGAAAGATTGTTATGATTTAAAAAGGTTTTATAGCTAAAGCTTTCTTTGAATTTTAATAAGAGATTTTTAACTTCAGCATTTAAAGCGGTATACAAACAAAATAATTATCAAATGGCTGTGACATCCTCCACCTGAGGCATTTTACAAAAGTAAACATGGCTCATAATATTAATATTGGCACAAAAGTAAACAAAACTACAGCAAATAACATAAAACCATAACAGACAAAATTCGAAATATAATTAAGCAAAAACTAAATCTACTCGTTAGCGTATCGCACTGGAGTTTTGACGCTGCGCCCACTTCGCGTAACAATTTTTTCGTTTCGGGTACTCTGCTTTCAGACACTCCCGTTTCCGCGTCGTTTTCGGAGGCACTCACTTCCGCGCCTTCACATAAACTTAAACGAGATCCTCTGTCTTCGGTCTCTCCCGTGTTGTCCGTTCGGTCATTGCCTAGCATCTGAGAAAAATCTGCTGGGCACTCCATGGGGTAGATACGCTCATTAATACTGTTCTCAGCTATTTTTTGAAAGTCTACTCGAGAAAACGCGTTCTCAGTTCCGACAAAGTTAGTTCCATTATCACTGTATATAGTCTTCGGACGACCACGTCTGGCAATAAAACGTCTTAGAACCTGCATGAAGCAGGCGACTGACAACGAGGTGCAAAGTTCGACATGTGCAGTACGATATACGGCACACGTAAAAAGACATATCCATGCTTTTCCTCCGGTGGCTAGGTAAAGCGGTCCGCAAAATCTACGCCCGTCGTTTCGAATGCTACCGCGTCCCGGACGCGATCTACTGGTAACGGCGGAGCACTTGCCCCGAATGGCTTCGCATTATGCCTTTTGCAGACGACACACTTAATGATGGCTGATTTTATCGCCCGTCGACCACCTAAAATCCAATATCGTTCGCGCACGATACTCGTGAGTCCTTGAGTTCCAATATGACACGACTTAACATGTTCCCGGAATAACAAACTATTCACTAAAAAATGTTTTTCCGGTTAAAACTATAGGAAACCGAAAATACTCTAGGTCATTTCTATTACTAATACGCGACTGTAAGCGAATTAGTCCATGCTCATCCTTAAAAGCGTTCATTCCCGATAATCTGTTGTCTTTATTCAAAAATAGAGTGTCGTCACTCTTATTCCCCTTTATTCCCAACACCTGAGTTGAAGCTGCAAGGTTTTCATCCTGTATTTGGCCAGTATACTCCCACCCTCTGAGGTCAAACTTGCCTTCACTCATTATTATGTTTGACTCTTCTATAAAAGTTCTCAGTTTCTGCTCATTTCTTACACTGGTAACACAATTATCAACGTAAAAACTATTGGATAAATTTGTAATTGTGTCTTCTGAAACATTAAGCCGTGCCGAAGAGCATTTTTCTAACATCTGCGATAAATGATAGTCCAGCGGAGCTGCCAATAAAAATGGACTACTACTTATTCCAAATACAACTCGACAGTGACGGTAAATCCTTTCTTTTCCAGTTTTATCTATCCATAGAAAGCGAAGAAAATCTCTGTCAGCTTTATGCAGGCCAATTTGCAAAAATGCTTTCCGAATATCGGAGATTACACCAATTTCCTTTTGTCTAAATCTCAACAAAATAGCTAGAATCAATTCAATCAGGTTAACCCCCTTTTCAAGACACTGATTTAAAGAAGGTCTGTGTTTTTCTTTGGCCGAAGCATCAAAGACCGGTCTGATTTTTTTAGATAAGCTATTTGGCTTAATTATCGGTCTATGGGGTAAATAATGACATTCTTGGCTAGGCTGCTCCTCGGATATTTCTTCAATTATACCTTCGTCCAACCAATCCTTAAATATTTGGTCGTAGGCTTCAAGATATCCGTCTTTCGTTATTTTCTTAAATGTGCTCTCGAGTCTCCTTTTTGCAATTTGGTAGTTGCTCGGCAATGCCGGATGTCCTTCCAGCCATGGAAGTCTCACTTCATATCGTCCACTAGAATCCGATGACACTGTTTCAAAGAAAAGTTTCCTGGCTGCTAGCGCAGTTTCTTCACTTGACTTCCTTTCAGTTGGATCACCAATGCCTAAAACGTCTAGCTCCCAAAGATTACTAACTGAAGCATTTTTAACAAAAAGTGATACAACCGATGTGGTATTATTGTCCCGTTGACCTAAAGGTATCTTGCCCATTAAAGTCCAACCTAATAATGTTTCTACAGCTACCAATCCACTTTCCAATATGTGCCTCCTCCCAGTATAGAGTTTTCCAGCAATGTCAGCACCTATTAAAATCTCTATAGGAGACGCATCACCCAAGTCCGATAGTTTTATATTAAACATACCAAGTTCTTCTATCCAGGGACCATTAAATATGGAAGAGACGTCGCTACATATAACGTTTTGATCTAGTGCCTCAAATGTATAACTATAATTGTTATGAAACACTCTAACATCATAGCAATCATGTTTTTGCGCTAATTGGTTTCCTCCAAACAATCCATGTACTAGATTAATCTGTCGTTTACTAGGATAACCCAAAAGTTTAGCTGTAGATTTCAAAATGTACGTGTTTTGCGATCCGGTATCTATAAGAGCACGTACAACTCGCGACTTGTCTAAATAGTTTATTTCAATACGCAGAGTTTGCAAAAAAACATTCGTATTAGCACTATTAGCGAGCGTCTGTTCAATTCTTGGCACGGCAATGCCATCGTTTTCTTTCTGCTCTTCTGTATCCTGCTTTACCCGGTGTCTTGAAAGTTCAGTGCACATTAAAGGTACATGCGATTTAGAGCAAATTAAACAACTTAATTGACTGCGACATTTTCGAGACTGATGTCCAATTTTCAAACAACGAAAACACGCGCCGTTTTCTGTCAAAATATTTTTCCTTTGGTCATAAGTTAATTTCTGTGCTTTAAAACAGTGGCTGCTTTCATGCGAATTCTGACAAAAAACATATTTATAGATGGTGTGAGAATTAACTAAACCCATCGCGGAAGGAGACTTGTGCTTGTTTTCCTCGTGTCTCCTTGTTTTTGGGCCTGTAGATTTAAAATCTTCGGTTTTAGCAGCATGCAAATGGAAATTCTCGACTGCTAAAGAAAGGTGCTGCTCATTGTCAACTTCCTTTTTCAAGAACAACATTAAACTCTGAAGTCGATTTTCGATGCTTGCGATGCCGGCAGAATTAAGTGACGCTTGTGATCCGATACTTTCTGGCAATCGTTGCCAAACTCTTAATAAATCTGAAGGTAGACAGGATTCAACTAAAGGAAATAACATAGCCGCGTATTTATCCGACTTAATACCGAGTGTTTCCAGAACCCTCAACTGAGTCTCTAATTTGTCGTATAACAAGGATAGATCTAATTTATTGCCAGACGCAGTATTATTTATTACTAATTTAAGTAATTCCCGTACATAAACTTCGATCTGCAAGTCATCCCGACCGAAACGCGAAATAAGACAGTCAATCATAGCATCATAATTACTTCTAGTGGCGGGAAAACTATCCACTAGTTGCCTAGCTCTACTACCCGGTATAGTAGCTTGAATCAAATATTCGACCTTGTCGTTCGGATCTATGTCAGGATCATGATGAACTTTTTGAAATTGTGACCAAAAAGGCAACCAGTTTTTAATATTCCCGTCGAATTTTTTGAACTCTAATGTAGGTAATTTAAATTTTCGCTTACCGCGTCTGCTGTCTAAACTACTCCTATCATCAGATATCCTAGAAGCTACCTCACCTTCCACTGCACCTGTCACTATTGACTGCATACGGTCTTCGAACTGCATACTGAGATCCAAAAACTTCTTGCTATAGTTGTCACTACAGTCAATTTCTGCTAAAAGGTCTTCTTCACTAGCGTCTTCACTTAGTAATAGACCGTAGATTTCTTCATCACTTTTCCTTAGGTCTTCAATTTTTTGGCGTAATAGATCCAAGGAAACTTTAATTGATCGTATCTCACCCTCCGGCGCCGACAAAAGCTTATCCATTTCATTCGCCGTCCTCGTGAAGGTACTACGGAGCACTTTGCGATATTTCTTCTTTTGATCCATTTTCTCTGCAAACTTGGTCAAAACCACACACGTTTACCGAAAGTTACAGGCGAAACGCGATAAAGTTTGTCCGGTGATCGTCAATTCAATTTTGTTACACCTCGTATACAACCACGATTAATTTTATGGAAACAGTCCTGTCACGGTCGCCAAATATGTCAAGTGTGTACCAACGCAATTCTACCCGAATTTGCGTATAAAATACACGGTTCGTATATTACAAAATTAAACTTCAAAATTATTGAAAATCTATATTTGCCAGTTCCCAACAAAACATATCGCGTGCTTTTAAAAAATGATGTAACAAAATTATCACTTATAAGCATCAATCTATACATACACAAAATTAAAAAATACTACGCCACGGATACCGACCGTTCAGCGCTCAGATTCTTAGTCAACTGTAAGAACCTCATCAATTTTTATTACACCACTTACGCGTTAAAATAAAGAAAATAAATTGAAGTGATGGCGATAAAATATAAAAATTATTGACGACAAGTGGAAAGATTGTTATGATTTTAAAAAGGTTTTATAGCTAAAGCTTTCTTTGAATTTTAATAAGAGATTTTTAACTTCAGCATTTAAAGCGGTATACAAACAAAATAATTATCAAATGGCTGTGACAACGATATTTAGGAAAAGCTATAAATTATATGGATATCATTCATACTTTTAAATTTATTTATTTATATTTTAATCCCTGCAAAAATATTTTTATTTTTAAATAACAGAAATAGAAAAACTCTGTTAGTCCGATTCTGTCTTACAATTTATTCAAATGTTACACTTAGGGTAAATGAACAGGAACATAGATACAAATTCCAATGTAAAAAAGAGGAATAGACAATAGTTAATACAACAAAGAATAGAAACAGAACGAATATCCAATAGCAAATCAGACTATTCGACCAATCAGATCAAACCACGATTTAACTTTGACACTGACAATTGTAAGTAATGTCGTGTAGATATAAAGTTTGCATGTGTATTATGACGGTATTATATAGGTAATTATTTCAGTCCACTCTTTACAACATATTATCAAACCAAAAATGTTGAGCAGTTTTGATAATTTAAACAGAAACTTTTGGTTAAAAACTACACCATATTTAGTAATTTTAACACTTGAGTTGTTATTAGATGGTAAGTTATAACCTGAAATTTAATAGGATTAAAGAATAAAAATATTTGTTTTATAGTTTCAGATTGTATGACACAAGCTGAAATAAATAGGCATTTAGAGTTAGGGAAACAATATTTAGCTAGCGGTCAGTTAGGAGATGCCCTGAGCCAATATCATCTGGCAGTTGGTAAGTTAATCTTTAATTTATCTTGGGTTTAACAACATTTTATCTGATTATTTTTGTCCGGATATTGGACATATATAAGTTGTTATAATCTATATTTATTAATTGAGCTTAAAAAATTGACGAATTTGTAATTTTTAGAGGGAGATCCCAACAATTATCTAACTTACTTCAAAAGAGGTACTGTGTACCTAGCTTTAGGCAAAGCGAAGAATGCCCTCAGTGATTTAGATAGAGTGTTAGAGTTAAAACCGGATTTCACTGCAGCTAGAATTAGCAGAGGCAATGTTCACCTTAAGCAAGCCAACTATGATTTAGCACAATTGGATTATTATAATGTGGTAAGGGTTTTCAACAATTATTTTGCAGTCTTGTTTTTGTCATTGCTATATACTGATACCAACACATTCGTGTGTAATAGAATTTGCAAATTTCTATATATTTGAACAAAAGTAATGTTAAATATTTTTGGACAGGTTAAACCTTTGTTCCATATGTGAAAATTGGAGCTGTCATTAGAGAAGTATAGTTTATGTATTATATACATAAAACCATTTTTTTTAAATGTGTATAAATTTTGTTTTCTTACACCTTAAAAGATTTCTGATGCTTTTTTTGTTCTTTTACATTTAATATTGACACCATCATTAAATATTCTCAAAGTGTTGTCTCTGAGTGCCTTACTGCCAGTATTAGATTATCTACATACGTGTTTAACAATCATTTTTTATGTTAAATGTGCAGACATGTCACAGCTGGAAAATAAACATGTTGCCTTTGCCTTATGATTTGTTATACAGTTTTCTCTTTGCAAGTATTAACTATGAAAGGTAATGTATTGATTTTTTTAAATTTTTTTTTGTAATATTTTAATGTATGGAAGAAAATTTCTGTCCTGAATATGAAGTTTACAGGTATAAAAAAAAAACTAAAAAAATCAAGCAAATTTGCCTATTTTGCATTTGTTTTTTATTAATTATTGATATTCTTTATGGCTGTCATCAAAGTCTCTCTTTATTAGCCTTCCTTTATCCAAAATTAAAGATATGCCTCCTTCATGGCTCAGCACTTGTTTCTATTTGCCTTAAGTATCCAATTTGGTCCAACACTTTTTTGGTCACCATTCCATCTTATCTGTGGCCATTCCTGATTCCTTTTTCCATATATAGTGGCCATTGATAATCCCATTGTAAATTAATACAACCCGTAAACAATTATCATTGTTTTTATTACCTAATATATTACACAATATTTTCTTTTGGGCTTTGTTTATTATCTAATAAATATATTAAAACTTGACTTTTACAAAGTACAGATTCTTAATATGCTATGACTATTTAATAAAAAATAACAATAATCAGAGCCAAAAGTAGTATTTTAAATCAGATTAATAAATAATTAGTTTCCATTTGTATTTATTGAATAACCTTGCAATTAGTTCACCTAAAATGTTTATAAAAACATTTTTAGGTTTATTTACCTTGAACTAATATTACTAATAACTTTGTTTTAAATATTTCACAAATTTAAAATGAATAACACAGACAGTTCTTTCGATAAATCCAATTACTGCTGTTAAATTTTTTTTTTCAAAATTTACATAGGACAAATTATTTAAAAATGAGGAAAAAATATTATCAGGGAAAAAGTACTTAATTAATTAATTATGCAATTATCGATTGTTGATTTATATAATAATACAATAATGTAATTAGGATTTAATGTTTATGGCTATTAAATTAACAATAATTTTTAACATTAAATATAGATAACACTAAAAACTGTTTGTCAGGCTCCTTACAATAGGGACTTCTGAACTCTGACAGTTGATAGTAGCTACATCTGTCAAATTAGCTTTCATTAATTCAATGGGGTTTGCCAAATCACCAAGGCTGCATGTAGTGAATAATATCACATGCAAATGATAAAACTGTTTTATCAAAGTGGGTGTTCAGGCAACTTTCTGAGTGCTTTCCCCATTTTATTTATTTATTTATTTATTTATTTCCTTTAAAACACAAAATGATTGTTAATACATTAAAAGAGTACTTACTACTGCCCATAATAAACAATCAGAATGCCCACTGCTTAAAATAAAAGTACATGCATTTCGTTCACGCAGATGGAGTCAGCCATGTCTTAAACAGAACCAGTGCTGTTCAGTGACATTTTATCTGGTGTGCATAGACAAATTAACCTGGTTTAATTTATTTATGCCAACTATAGAGATAATATGCACTATTTTATTTGTTCTGTCATAGCTTGTCACAAATTTCTCAATTCAAATCTATGTTTCTGTCTAAAATATCGCGATTGTGTACTGACAAACTTCAAAGGCGGCATCTGAGAGTGGGCATCCTGATTATTATTTATTCTGCACTACTGCTAAAAACTATATTAAAAACTAAACCTAGACAGAATAAAACAAGTAAAAAACACTAAACATATAAATTAAATTTTAAGACAACAACTTTGGCAGACTAGAAAGTTGGTTCAAAAGTAACTTTTATTTGTTTCACAGAAGAATTTAAAAAGTCTATATCACAGTTATATCACGTCTATATCACATGGTTACATTCTTCTAACATCTTATTTATGGATGGGGTGGTTGAACAATCAGTCAGTAGTTGAGAACAGTCGTTTGTTATTAATTCTTAGATTTATTTTTGGAACATTAAATTTAATATTATTTTTAAAAAAGCAATCTTTATATTTAATGTGATTTACAACTTGATAAATAAAAAGGGCTGAATAAAAATTTCTTCTATTATCCAGTCGCTGAACTTTAAAACAAGTCATCATTGTAGGAAATCATGTATGGAAATATACCAAACTTTCTGACATAAAGAAACCTCAAGAATCATTTTTGAACCTTTTCAATCATACCAACATTGAATTTGGTTTGTGCTGCCCATATAATAGAGTCATACTCCAAGTGAGGTCTTACTAGTGCATTGTATAATGATATTATAGTTTCAAATCTTTTAAAAAATTTTGAATTACGAATTATGAAGCCAATAGTTCTGTGTGCCTTTCCAATGATGATCCGATAATGTTCATTAAATCTCAAATTTTGCTGAAACATTACTCCAAGATCTTTGCAAGTGTTCTTTCTTCCAAGTACAGTGCTAAAAATTTTGTATTGGTTCTCCATGTATTGTGTTTTTCGAGTGATAGTAAAAACATGACATTTAGAAGTGTTTAGAAACATTTTGTTATCATCGAACCATTGACTTACTGAGTTCAGATCACATTGCAACATCTCAGAGTCCTGCAGAGTTGAAATTTCTGGAAAAATCTTACAATCATCTCCAAATAGTAGGCTTGTCGAAAACTTCACACAGTGAGGCAAATCGTTAATAAGTATAGCGAACAGAAGAGGACCCAAGTTGCTAACTTGTGGTACACCTGATGTCGATATAAATGGCTTAGATAAACTGTTCTCCACTTTAACTTGATTTAACCTATCAGAAAGATATGACCTCTTAAATATACATGCTTCTGAATCAAAATCAAATTTGCTTAGCCTTTCAATAAGTATAGAGTGATCAATCATATCAAAAGTAATCGATTTATTATTTATGGCCCCTGCCGCAAAACTTGTAAAAACGCACAAATTTGACACAGTGGACTTCCCTGGTAAAAAAAACATGTTGTTCTGGTCAGAAGATATCTCCAAAGTAATTCAAAATATTGTTATAAAACACATTCTCGAATATCTTGAATTGCATTGATGCAATTGAATTGATGACAGATATAGGCCTATATGGTTGCCATTATTGTCCTACCTGGTTTAGTGTAGAGTTACTTGACAACATATTTCTTGTCTTAATAATCTATAATCTTGTAATAATCTATTTTCTTAGAGTTATAGCATTCTTTTGAGGTTTATAAGCATTTTGTTGTTGCTGGGAACCACATCTGAAGAATATTGTTAATGTGGAAGTAATTCCATGTGCAATTCATGAAAGTTTGGTTTTTAAGGCAGAATGGACACCAGGGAAGCAATATTTGGGTTATATGTTCCATTAAAAACAAATGTAATTATTAACAAAAAGAAGTATTTACCTGTTTCATCGATTATGAGAAGGTTTTTGATAGAGCAGAACACCCGAATTTTCTAATACAATGACGAGTCTGACAGGAATTTCTTGCTATCTCCTTTGTTGTGGTATTTCTTTGCTTTTTTAAAATAATTTGGCTGCTTCTTTAAGTTGTTTATGAATATTGAAAGTGATGAAAGTATAGCATCCATATTCTTTAATTTTTGATATTGTTGTGATAACCATCTTTGTTTGTGCAGTATTATTTTGTTTATTATTTCTCTGTTGATTTGTCTGTACTGAGTGCTGCCTTTTTTCCCATGTCTTTCCTCAATCAGGTCCAAGATCTCTTCAGCCATCAAAATTTTATTATGTCTTCTTGGTTCTTCTTTGCATATTAGTTCTGTGCTTTTAACATTTGCCTTTTTGATGTCCATTCAAACCACTTGGAAAGATTCTAATATAGTTTTGAGGTTCGAATCGGTTTGTAAATGCCCCTTTGTCCGCTTCTTGTCGATCGATGATGATAAATATAATAAACAGTTGAAGTTGTGGAGTAAAAGTTGATTTATTGAGAGCTACTGTACTCAAATGAGCTCAAATCCCCAATTTATAATCTCACAAATAATTCATACCTCAGCACCGAGGTTATTGCTTACTATCAGACCATACTTTGAACTATTTGCTTACATTACAATTTAATCTAGGCCTTAATTGCGACACTTAGGAAGGTCAATTAGAAAATATATTATTCGGCAATTTATTTAGTTGTAGGTAAATGAACTAATTATTAAAATATTATACGATATGGTTTTACAATGTCACTTATACACGGTGAAACTATTAAAGATTAAGAAGTTAAAAATAATGTGAGATTACAAATTAAAGGGTTAATTTGTGATTGAATACCACTTCTTTATCCTGTTTGACTGTAGAAATATTTATTGTTGAGTTCGCTTTTTAGTTCACTTGCGATTATGTTATTGTCTGTTGTAGAAATATCAGGCTAGTTTTACAATTTCTAGATCGAATTTACTTAGGAAATCCTTCATTTTATCTACTACTGAGTTATGATATGAATTTATATCTGCACCAGGATAAGTTGTTCCTAATTTAATACTGTTTTTGAAACATTTGTTGATCAGTATAAAATGTATGAGATTTCTAATGATTTTTTTTTTAAGTGTCTGCGTTGTTGCAATAGCAAACATTACATAACACTCAATATTTGACTGTTAATCGACCATTGATTTATTCCTTTTGCGTAATTTTTTACATTTAATTTTTTACAGGCTTAG